ATATATAAAATAATAATAATACTGGGAGACTCAAACCTCAGGAATTTTGATGTGATTTTTGTTGTTGTTCTTTTCATGGAGCTCAATTGGTGTTTTGCATATTCAGTTGGACAATAAATGTTTTGATTTTTTAAAGAGGTTGAGAGATTGATACAGTTCAAGCCCATTGTAACTTACATGTTTACCAGTGAAGGCTGTTACTGCTGATATCATTCAAAAACAAACACACCCTCCCCACAAATAAAACTCCTCAAAAAGTCTGTTCATTATGGGCAATTGCTATATCCTGACCCAGCTTTTATATCATGAAGTCATTTTAAATAAAGAGAAGGAAACCTGGGCAATTGTCCTTTCTCTTTTTGGTGGAGAGTAACTCATATTTGTTGGAATGGGAACCACCTGTTGAGGATTACATTTCCATGACGTTTTTCTGAATTTAATCCTTATGTAGGTGATGAAATTCATTCCTTTCAAATTCAAGATGAACCAGAACAGTCATTTGACCCACCTGTGCAGTTTTAAAAATATTTTGAATAATAGAGACTGAACTGAAACTCAGACATTGAACAATGATTAGATAAATCTGTTATTTAAAAGGATTTCTCCTGCCTCTTGAAGAGGAGGGAAAAATTCTAATAAATCCCAGAGTGTTTGCATTCGGTTCTTATTTCATTGCTATGGCTGAGCTCCTTTGGTATGTTCAAATGAAAACTGCTTTTCCTGTGACAGTCATCATACTGTGCCTTCCTAATCTTAGATTATGAGCTCAATTTAAACTGTATGCTTCTCCGTGATGGTTGGTTTATTAACATGTAAAGCTAGTTGTATTTCTGGGTATCTCTTGCTGGATAATCATTCAATAGTGCTGTCAGCAATGTGGACAGTGATGTTGTTAGAGCTGCCTAGGGCCTTGAACAACTTTGGAGTCTTAAGCATGGAAAACACTTAGGGAGAGATGATGCTTTGGGAGTTCAATCTCCTTGTTTAACGTTGGGACCCAGTTCAAAGTAAAATGACATGACTCTTGTTTTAAATCAATTCAAGTTAATTATCTAAGGATCATCATCATTTTTGTGATCAACCCAAGATTAATAGAGATGCTTTGGGACAACGTTTTTTTCAAAATGTGTTCAATGAGTGAGAATCTCTTAGGAAGATTTTACTGAAATGCAGATTTCACAGACACCACTGCAGACCCACTGACCCTAAATCTTGGTAACATGTAGCTTAGGGAGCTACATTTTAACAGGTGTCCCAGGTGATTCTAGTACTTTGGCTTTTGAGAACTACTATCCTTAGATGTTTTAACAGCAATACAGGTAGTCCCTAGCTTACAATGGGGTTCCCTTCTGATGGCTCTGTCTTAAATTGGTTCTGATGTAAGTCAAATACCTCATTTTATTTATTTTTTAAAAGGTTTCGTTATCACTGCCTTTTATTATCAGTGTTTGTATAAGTCCAATATATTTTTGTCTTTGGGATTGGAAACATTGCATATAAATTTACAGATACATTGTGGTGCTGTAGGATCAGTATTGAACTGTGAACCACAAGGTAGGCAGTTCAAACACACCAACTTCTCAGAAACCCAATGTAGGGTTGCTATGAGTCAGACCAACTCGATGGCACATAACAACAACAACAACAACAACAACAGATAATATTAGTGATGGTGGAAGTGGTGCTGGCTGTGCACCATTAAGTCGGTTCTGACTTATAATGATCTTGTATAGGGTTTCCGAGGCGGTATATCTTTTCGGGATCAGAAAGTGTCATCTTTCTTACACAGAGCAGCTGGTAGATTTGAACTGCTGACTGTGATTAGCAGCCCAACTTTGCTCCTTATTACTAATGATAAGATCTAAAAAAAACCAAACCTAACAAGTGTGGGTCATTGTAACTTGAATACATAGTAAGTCAGAAATTACCTGTACTAAAATTCTGTAATCTCTAACATGCTTCCCACCTTTAAGGTTTTTTGTTTTTAAACTTTGGAAGTCAGCTGACATTAATCTTATTAATCAGGTTCCATTTTGTATGTATGTTCTTCATCGTTCAACTCTTTTTCCTGCCTGGGCTATGAATCAATAATTATCAAATTTTATTATGTATTTCTTAATTGTTGAGCGTTATGTTCTGTATGCTTTAGGCTATACACAGAGTTGAGTATATGCTGTTATCTAGAGCACTGCATGTAGCAGTGATGGAGTTTGTTCTTTCTCCTATCACCATGAACTGGAGTTACTTTGCTGTTGGCTGTAAAGTGCCGTCGAGTCGGCTCTGACTCATAACAACCCTGTGTAGGGTTTCTGAGGAGCAGCTGGTGGGTTTGAACTGCTGACCTTGTGGTTCGTAGTCCAGTGCTGATCCTGTAGCACCTAGGAAACCCTACAAAATTGGCTAACTAGACAAATTCTGTCTTCTAGCAGATTATAGTAATGGCTCTCACTGACAAAGACAGATAAAGAAAAGAAGATGTAAAAGTGATGTGAAGAGCTCTAGTCTCGGACCAGGCAGTCCTGAGTTTGAGACATCATCTTACCATTGACTGGGTCACCCTGAAACTCTTTGAAAGTTCTGTGTGCCACTGTAGAAAATGAGACTAACACCACTTGTTCTCTCTCTCTCTCTCTCTGAGTTTGAGAGTTAAATGTTGTAATAGATATGTATGAAAGCACTTTGTTACTATAGTACTAAATCACTGTAAGCCATTGTTATTTACAATTTCGTTGTTGTTGTTAAGTGCCGTTGAGTGGGTTCCAATTCATAGCGACCCTGTATAGGGTTTCCGAGGAGCAGCTGGTGAGCTTGCAGTTCAAACCGACCTTGCAGTCCAGCGCATTAACCCACAGTGCCAAACCAGGACAGCTGTATAACCATCAAATAAATAATTACTCTCACATTTATATGATGATGATATTAGTTATGGAGCCCTGGTAATGCACTGTATAAGCACTTGGTTTAACGACTGCTAACTGAAAGGTCAGTGGTTCGAGCTCACGTCCTGTTCTGTAAGAGAACAATGTGGTAGCCTGCTTTGCAAAGATTCACAGCCTTGGAGTCTCTGTGGGACAGTTCTACTCTGCCCTGTCAGGCACAATGGTTAGAAACACTTGACAGCACTGGGGTTGTCATCCAGTTAACCATCCTACTCATGGCCACCCTGCATTTGCAGAGTAGAATTACTCCAATAAGGTTTTCAAGGCTATGACCTTTTGGAAGCAGATCACTGTTTTCCTAAATACCTCTGGATTGGGTTCAAACTGCCATACTTTGCCAGTAGGTCACCTGCTTAACTGTTTGTGTCCCTCAGGGACCCCATGCATTGATATGATACTTTACATGTATTAGCTCCTCAGGACAACTCACTGAGGTAGATAAGGCAGTATTTATCATTCCTTTGATCCAATGAGATTAATAAAGATGAGGTGACTTTCCCAATGACACACAGTTGTTGGTAAGGGCCAGCATTAATTTCTGAGTATCTGATGCAACCCCATTTTGAGAACCGACTGACTACATCATACTTTACTGGGGTTGTATTTAGAGATTATTGGGTAATCTGCTGGATTGGAAGTTCCTACTTAGAGGTAGGATAGCTTTAGAATGTTTTCCTTTTCTAAAAATTTTATGCACTCCTGCCATGTTAACTCATAGTACTTAGTTTATTCACATTATTGAAAATAAAATATTTTCTTCTCTCTTCTTTTTCATTTCCATTTCCATTAGCCTTCCTGAAATACCTGTTGTTGTTAAGTGCTTTTGAGCTGGTTCCAACCCGTAGCGACCCTGTATAAGGTATTCAAGGAGTGGCTGGTGAGGTTGAACTGCCGACTGGTTCAGACCTTGCAGTCCAGCGTATTAACCCACACCACCACACCAGGACTATTACAGTTGGTAAAATAAATGATCCACTCCCCTACTTTTGTGTTAACGCTGTATTAAAGCACTGTACCTCAAGGGCAGTTTGAACTGCAAGGTTGGCAGTTTAAACCCATCAGCTGCTCCTTGGAAAGCCCATTCAGGGCCGCTATGAGTCAGAACCAACTCAACGGCACTTACCGATAACAACAATGTGTTGTTGTATTTTGTTGGTACTTACAACTTTTGTAATTTCTTTTAGTTGGGAGTAGAGAATATATTTTCAAATACTTTTTTTTTTTTTTTTAAAGGACAAAGTAGATGCTGGTTTGCCTACAGCAATTGTAAGTATACTTTAAATAATCTCTTAAAGATAAGCTTTTTATTTGATTGGGGTTTTCTTCATCATGTTTAAAATTATTACATAGATTATTGTGATAGTAAATTCATGAATCACTTCCCTGCCATTAGTCATGTTTGAAATTTATCCCTTTCTCCCCCGAATCTATTGTTACTGCTTAGGCTTTTGTTAGAGAAACAGATAATGGAATAGTGACTAGCCTATTCTGGATTTATTTGTATGTGGTACCACTCTGCACAAGTATATTTGATGCTTCTGTGACTTGGCCTCCCTTCTGTTTTAGGGAGTGGAAAATAGCATTCCGTAAAAGTACTTTGTGGTAAATAGTACATTGAACAGCTCAGGACTCTGTTGCTGAGCCTGCCAATAGTAAACCTCTGGAGTGATTATAGAGAGCTAGGAGGAGATTGAAAACCCTCTTTTCTCATCTTCCTCCAGCTGCTTCCTCTAGCCTCTCATTAGTTAGTTGTTTGGTGAGGAAGTGGGATAAATTTTGAACATTTCTGGTGCCTGTTGGCTCCTGTGAATAAATTGGAGATCCCTTCTCACCTCACTGGAATCTCTTTGTTGGGTAGCATAAGTGCCTTTAGCTTTATCTTAGCCTGTGATTTAAAATTTTTTTATTTTTTAGTTGCTTTAGAGGAAGCTAAATGGCATGCTTTTACCTATAATGTTGAACATATGATACTTTGATATTGTTACCCTTAGAGTAAATTTAGAGGGATTACCAGAAATAAAATATTCTGAGTTTCATTTCCCCTTTAACCTCCTCAATGAAATTGTCTGTATTGAGAATAGTTGGTATGCCATCTGGTGCCTAGAGGAAGGAAGATCACTGTATTCAACTGTGATTGTTTCAGGATTCTTGATGTACTGTCTTAAAATACAGTCTTCCCTTTTGTTCTCAGGCAGTGTCCAGTCTGATAGCAGTCGGTACATCCCATGGATTGGCTTTAATATTTGGTAAAATTTTAACTATTAAGATTCCTCTGGTTTTATAATGCTTTTTAATCATAGTTTATAGATTATACTTTATTCTTAAACAAAACCAGGAAAAGCTGGAAAAGGAGCAGTCTGTATTTTTGTATAGTTGAAAATGACTGGATTCACAGCTTTATTTTGTTTTGTAATGCAAGGCTATTGTCATCATTGTGAATTCTATTGACTCTTTGCAGACTTAGAAGAAAAAGCAACATAAAGCTGAAAAGAAACTTGACTGTTGTTTTATCTGCCTCCAGTTTGGGGTGGGGGGTGATTTTGTTTTTTAAATCATATCTGGCTAATGGAGTTTCTAAAAGATATTCAGGGAATGATTTTCCAGGCTTTTTAGTTATTTTCAGTAAATCCATTGACAATAAACTCTTCTTTATTTCTATTATAAATCCCTCTAAGCTGAAAACTTTTAGCCCATATTCACATTCTTTTCCTGGTTGAGGAAGGACCTTCACTAGTTCCATTGTACATTTGAGGACAGTCTTATATCCTCCCCTTCCCCCTCAAACACACACCTAGGAATAACCACAGTTTCATTAATCCTTCTTTGGTTTGACCATAATACTTTTGAGCAGAACATTTGGTTCTGTGTTTAAAAATGATTAGATAAGATTTTTCTGAAATGTTTGATGTTTTCTACTGTATCCTAAATCTTTTGCATCTGTCTTAAATGGAATTCTAAATGAGAATAAAATATAACGGTTTCAGTGATAAATCTTCAGAATATTATGCAAGGATTACTTAAGGATACTTTGATGGCAGAACCTCAGATTGACTTTTGTGGGCCTTATGTGTTTATGTATGATGTGAGCGGTTATCTAGTTATTTTCCATTGATTTTGAACAATTGGACTTCCTGTTTATATGGCCAAATCTCTAATATGGCCACATCTTTACTTAACATGATTTTGACACCTAATCTTTTCAAAAGTGATTGATTTAGATAATAGAATGTTATCATTTGTGGACCAGAAAGAATGGAGAAAAAATATATATAATCATGAAAGTTGAGAATTTTATAATAATTATTTTTTAATGTTTTATTGTGAATTATGTGATTGTTTACATGGAGAACATTAGTTTTACATTCATCCTATCGTATATCATTTCATTGCCATAGTTATAATAACCTCTATGCATCATCAACCGACCAAAGGGTATATCCTGCAAGCCTGCCCCCCAGTTGTCAGCACACAGCCCCTTTCTATAATCAGTTTTTAAAATAATAATTTTGTTCTTATAATTGATTTGTGTTCATAGTAGAAAACTTAGAAAATATAGTTATATAAGAAGCTGTAGATTTAAAATACCCTGAATTTTACCATCCAGGAATAATCCCAACATTTCTGAGTAGCCATCTTTTTTTTTTTTCTTTTTTACATGAATATATGTATATATGCACCCTAAAGTAGGATCAGATACATATTTTTATTTGTCATTTATTCAATGACAATATCATTTTTAGTGACTTCATAATATTGTTTTTGAGTGGATGCACTATAATTAATGTAACATTTTCTGCACTGGGAAATTTTACATTGTTTTCTAAAAGAGTGGAATGATGAACATTTTGCTACATGATTACTTGTTTAGGATATAATCCTAGAAATGGAATTGTTTGGGTCTGAATTTGATATGTAATTTAACTACCCTCAAGAAAAGTTTTACCAGCGTCCTCTCCTGTCAGTTATAAGAATGCTTGTTTTCCTGTGGAGGGCATAACTGGATAATGTTGTTAAGTGCTGTCGAGTCAGTTCTGACTTAGTGACCCTGGTGGGTTTGAACCATTGACCCTGTGGTTAGCAGTTCAGTGCTTATCTTACAGCGGCACACCAGGATGCCACATTGGATAATATGGATAGAATTTGGGGACAGGAGCTTAAAAGATAAAATGTTCAGTCCCCTTATTGTATGTATGAAGAGACTGAGCACCAAAGTGAAATATATAGAGTCAAGTTCAGGATCCTAGATCTCCATCATTCTGAGAAATCCCCCATCCTGAGAGAAGAGAAGGCAAATTCCAAGATATATGGAGAAATGAGTAGCAGAACTGAGATAAATAAGGATACACTATAATGTATACGCTTATCTGTCAGCAGAATGTATATTGATTTTTTTTAATTCCTACTTATCAGGACTTACTTTCCCTTAATCCTATTTCTTTTAACATCCCTACCTTATCATCAGGTTATAAGAATATGTATCTGTTTATGATCAAACCCATGCAGAATTTAACTGCAAGCACATTAAAATGAATACTTTAATAATGAAAACTAACAGAGAAGAAAAAGAATACATTACTTTTGGTACTATCTTCTTAATTTCTTTGGGCCTGCTTCCTGTTTCTTTTTTAAATGAAACCTACAGCTTTATTGTAACTCTGATGAAATAGTAATATTTTGCTGCAGTCTTAGGGACAAAAAAAATATGTCAAAGTGAGCATTTTAAGAAAAAAAATCACAAATACTCTGGTTTGCTTTGGGTTTTAATAGTGCAGTTACTGCATTTTACTCATTTGTAGAAATCAGATGTTTGGACAATATGTTTGAACAAATGGATTAACAGTGAGTTTGAAAAACCAAGAACAAACGGCAGAGAACAGTAACAAAAAATGTGAAGTGCCTAGGTTTGAGTTCTGGTTTAGGTTAGATCTTTAAACAGTTTTGTTGGTCATATAGCAGAAAGAACTATACTTGTTGAAGTAACATTAGAGTTTCTGTGAAATAGAGCCTTGGGTCATTAAAATAGTAATCTTTATAGATGACCACCATAAACTAATTAAACGCTGATATATGTTGTATAAGGAGCTCTCGTAGCATAGTGATTACGAATTGGGCTGCTAATCTCACGGTCAACAGTTTGAAACTACCAGCGGTTCCATGGGAGAAAGATGAAGCTTTCTGCTCCCATAAAGGTTTATAACATCAGAAACCCTATACAGGGTGTCTATGAGTTGGAACCAACTGCATGGCACACTACCACCATATGCTCTATGCATTGCCTATTCTTAGGGAATTTTAGGTATGTGACATTCATAGTATATTTCAGTCCTTATGTATATGCAGAGTCTTAAAATTTCTAATCTTAATAAAGATGACTTCGTGTCCTACTGTCTTTAGTTTTACATTTTTGTCGGCTAATGTTTTGTAGAGGTTAAGTGCTCGGCTGCTAACCAGAAGGTTGGTGATTTGAGCTCATCAACCACTCAGGGGGAGGAAGATGTGACTGTCTGCTCTCAGAAGATGATAGTCTTGGAAACCCGATGGAGCAAGCAGTTCTGCTCCATCCTATAGGGTCACTATGAGTTGGAATCAACTCAATGGCAATGAGTTTTACTGTTAGTGTATTTTTACTAGATTATCTTATGAAATTCTTTTTGTTTATTAGACATGGATTTACATACTGCACTATAATTTGAATACTGTGCATCCTCTTCCCTTCCAACCAAAGTCTGAATATATTCATACATGTTAGAGACTTCAATTAGCCAACTTTAGTAGTCTTCCCACAAATTACTAAAGCTGTCATTTATACTCTTGAAATTTGACCTGTCTTTTCTCTGTATTTCTGAACTGATTTTTTGCTTTTCTCTCTCACTTAATCTTTTCTCCATGGATTCAAAAGGAAAAGGTATAGTAATTTTGGTCTGCATGAATGGTTCCCCACCCCCACCTCCTTTTTAATGTTCTACTCCATGGCACTCACCAACAACAATGTTGAAAGAGAATGCTATCCAATTACAGTTTATACCCTTTTAAAAAATGCTTATTGAAAAAAAATCAGTTAATTAAAAATTTGGTAAATCAAAGAATTGTTAAAAGCTGTAAATATACGCATACACCAGTGTTTTATTTTAACAAAGTATTTATTTATTTGTTTATTTTTACTAATTTTTGATTGCTTATATTGCTTATTTTTTTCTAATTTTTTTTAAAGTCCGAAGGTTTTCCTCGAGTATATGTCTGCCTGTAGAAGGTATATGCCTTATCTTTTTTGACATAAACTGCATCAATACTAGGTCATATAAAATTTGCCATTTTAATTTTTTTTTTTAATGAGGTAAAAGCTTTAGGTAGCTGTGAAACAAATTGATGAGTGTAAAATTATTCTAAATTTTAATGAAACTCTTAAACCTTTTTAATGTTGGCCTTGTCCACACCTTATTTCATGAGTTTTTGAAAGTAATTCATCTTTGCCAAGTTTTCTTAAAGCATCCACTTTGTTTTCATAGATATGTTGTTGTTGTTGTTGTTAGGCGTTGTTGAGTTGGCTCTGAATCGTAGCTGGCTTACGTACAGCAGAAGGAAACGTTGCCTGGCTCCATGCTATCCTAACAGGTGGTGAGATGTTGGAGCCCATTGTTGTAGCTACCACGTCAGTCCATCTGGTTGAGGGGTCTTCCTCATTTTTGCTGATCCTTGACTTTACCAAACATGATATCCATCAGGGACTGGCCCCTCCTGATGATATGTCCAAAGTACGTGAGATGATGTCTCTCTTTGCTTCTGAGAAGCATTCTGGCTGTACTTCCAAGATAGATTTGTTTGTTCAAGAAACAGTAGCATTTTCTTTTCCACTCTTGTTTTAGCCACTTACATATTGTTTAGCTAAATCTTAAAGTACATTAATGAAACATGGCATGGATAGGTTTAGGAATGAATACAACTGACTTTTTGTAAGCATCAGCATTCTAGAAAACAGCTAGTTAGCTCTGGGCATTCACTGTGTCCTGGGCTTCAGTCAGTAAGTTTTATAAAAGGAATTAGAACTTTGTTTAGTTTTTCGAGCTGGTTAGGTAAAGAATGGTGAATATTTGAAAATAAAAGTAGAGTTCCACCCACACAGTTGTACTTGATTCATTCTAGGATATAGGCACTTCTATCTTTGACAGTCTGAGAATTTTTGTTGTTGTTAAGTGCCGTTGAGTCATATCTGGTTCAAAGAGACCCTGTATAGGGTTTCCAAGGAGTGACTGGTGAGTTTGAACCGCCAACCTTGTG